AAACTAGGTCACAGGAGCTAAAAATAGAAAAAGCTTGTTAACACTCTATTGGCTGCAGTTTTCATCCAAATATTCTGGAAATTTGTCAGGAAAGTTGTTTTGATGATTTCTAGGTCAAGTTCGAAGATGGGTCATGTCTGGTCAAAAACTAGGTCACAGGAGCTAAAAATAGAAAAAGCTTGTTAACACTCTAGTGGCTGCAGTTTTCATCCAAACATTCTGGAAATTTTTTCAGGAAGGTTGTTTTGATGATTTCTAGGTCAAGTTTAAAGATGGGTCAACTCAGGTCAAAAACTAGGTCACAGGAGCTAAAAAAAAAAAAAGCTTGTTAACACTCTAGAGGCTGCAGTTTTCATCTAAATATTCCGGAAATTTGTCAAGAAGGTTGTTTTGATGATATCTAAGTCAAGTTTGAAGATTGGTCATCTTCGTTCAAAAACTAGGTCACAGGGGCTAAAAATAGAAAAAGCTTGTTAATACTCTAGGGGCTGCAGTATTGATTCAAATATTCTGGAAATTTGTCAGGAAGGTTGTTTTGATGATTTCTGGGTCAAGTTCGAAGATGGGTCATCTCATGTCAAAAACTATGTCACAGGAGCTAAAAATAGAAAAAGCTTGTTTACACTATAGTGGCTGCAGTTTTGATTCAAATATTCTCGAAATTTGTCAGGAAGGTTGTTTTGATGATTTCTGGGTCAAGTGCTAAGATTGGTCATGTCCGGTTAAAAACTAGGTCACAGGAGCTAAAAATAGAAAAATCTTTTTAACACTCTAGTGGCTGCAGTTTTGATCCAGATTTCTTGGAAAATGGTCAGGAAGGTTGTTTTGATGATTTCTAGGTCAAAATTTAATATGGGTCGTGTCCGGTCAAAAATTAGGTCACATTGCCCAAATATGGAAAAATCTTTATAACACACTGGAGGTCACATGTTTGACTCAGTTGTCATCAAACATTGCCATGATGCTTGTTTAAGACATTGCTTGGATGCGGTTGTGTCAGGTGAGCGATCCAGGGCCATCATGGCCCTCTTGTTTCTGTGTCACTTATGCAGTAAGGGCTATTTTTTTTTATTTTGACCTCTTTATGGTAATTTACGTGGATGTATGTGTAAATTAATTTCTTCAATCAATTCACAATATTTCCTTTTAAAAACATTTCTAAAAATTAATTGAAAATTCAAAATCATGTATCTGGAGGCATTCTGCTTTAAAGCTGTAAAAGCCTAGTTAATGCCAATGTGTAGTATTGATTGTATATTATATTTCTAGTATTTATTTATATGTTGTTTATATTTTGAAGCGGGTGGTTCTCCCCGGAGATTTCTAGAAAGTGGTGGAGCATGTATGTCTTATATTGACCTTAGATATGTTATCCCCTGTTGACCCCCTCCCCATTTTCCAGCATGCATTTGAAATATTGGACTGGTATTTGCTTAGAAATATTTAAATAAAAAAACAAAACAAAAAAAACTAAAAAATAAAAAACTTAAGGTATGATAAAATAGATTAATTATCTGACACCATTAACATTTTGATAAGCAATTTAAGGCCCTGCTAGTGTCACCCTCAGCTACAAAACTATTTCTTAGCAATAGAACTATTTATAAGTTAAATATTATTAACCAGTATCTGAAAAGCATTATTTATATAGTACGTCAATATTAAATGCGTGCTGGGCTAACTTTATGACTATGATTAATGAATAAGTTGAAAATCAGCTGCAACAAAGTCACTTACTTGAGCAGAAATATGCCATGTGTATCGGCTTCCAAGCAAGTAATTTAGTATATTGAACTGTCAATATAAAAATAATTGGAAATTGAGAAGTACAATATATAATATAAAAGTACAAGATATTTTCTTTGCAAGACAATATATGAGTAAACATATTTAATTTTACCTCAATATAATTCTTGAACCTGGTTCTAAAGGTGCAATAGTTCAATATCCTAATAACTTGCTGGCTGAATTGTTGTTTTTGAAAACCTAGTGCTCACATCACTTCCACTGTTGTTGAATGAACTTCACTTTTACAAAATTAATGTAAAGTTCATGTTTTCAGCATGATTCCCATCTACCCATCTCTTCTATAAATGGATATACTCCAGAACTCAGCAAATATGTGGTTTTATCATCTAATCCCAGGGACTGAGGGGTAAAAACAAACTTTAACCAGTAAATGTATTGATAAGCTTTATTTCTTAATCATGTCTATTGGGATCAGCAGTGCACAGTGATAAATAGAGAAAAACATGCAACTGTCTTTTGATATCAGGTGAGGCTGATAAGGTCTGGAAGGGGCAATGCTTGCTGTGACTTCATAAATTTGGTACTTTTCTATTTGCCGTCTAATTTGTGCATAATTGCAAACAAAATAGAAGTAACAGATATTACATTTTGATTCAAGACTTGCAATGAAGGATGTGAGGTGAAAATGTAGAATTTAAAGCCTGATTGGTTAAAATGAGAATACAAGCTATTGAAAACAGTCGGAACAGGCAAAGCTTATTTTTATCAGGTTACTAACCTTATATAAATATAAATATCAAGCAAGTGTATTCGAGCAAATGGGCAGATGCCTATTTAAAACATTAGTTTGTACCCTGGAATAAGATGGAAAAATTCCACATTTGCAGAGTTCCAGGTAGCATCTATAAAGTAGGGTTGTTATAAGATGATCTTGATTTAGAACATTTAATTAATGTGATAAAAAGAGAATTTATATTGGGTCATATTTGAGCTGCGTCACGACAAAACCAACATAATGGGTTTGCGACCAGCATTGATCCAGACAAGCCTGCGCATACGCGCAGTCTGATCAGGATCCATACTGTTCGCTTACCATCCCTATTACAAGTAAAAAAACTGATAGCGAACAGCATGGATCCTGATCAGACTGCAGAGATGCGCAACTGGTCTGGATCCATGCTGGTCGCAAACCCACTATGTTAGTTTTGTCGTGACGCGGCTCATTTATGCATGTCATACATGCAGTAAATTTAGCCAAATTTGTACAGGTATGTAGTAAACTTCATAATAACATGTGATTTTAACACCTTTGAAGTTTTGTTCACCTACCTTTTTAAATAAACATGTGATGAGCAACCAGTTTTTTTTACAGTGCATGTCCAATCATTTGAAATTTGGAGTTTGTGTTGATTACTTGTAAAACTTGAAATGTTAAGATAGTTTGCTGCCAGTATAGCATGTATAGGAAAAAATCTGCTTTGTATTTTTTGATTGAATGACAAATTTTTGTTAGTTTTAAAACCATTATGTTTGTATCTGATACTACCATATGTTTAAGTCGATTCTTAGAGATGAAGATCTTAAATGTTTAAAAGAGTTTCACTAATGTGGACATGACTGGACATTGAGTATTATGGTGTCAGTCTTTCTAATAATTCAGCAAGTAACAGTTGCTTTAATGTAAGGAATTATTAAATACATTAAGTGTTAATTTAAAACATTATGACTCCTATGCACATTTAGTTAACAGGGCTACATTGGCAGAGTGGTAATGGTCAAGGGTGCTAAAATTGGAATTAAATTGACCCTTACAATACAAATGTAGATTTAAATCCTGCTAATTATGGCAGTTAATTGAATGCTTTAAATGCTTTTATGGAAACTCTTAAGCTATATTGAAAAAGATTGGTGTTCCTACCCTAGATGACACAAATTAGTGTCTGAAGTCATACTTGATGATAAAGCATAAGGCTGTTTCTGTAAGAGAGTACATAATTTGAATTAAAACCCAAATAATAATTATGACAACGAAAATGTGTTAAATAATTATGAAAAAAATCTCACCACTTGCCTGTCCTTGTGTACATGATTTGTATGTATATAATTATATTCAATGTGATATGTAAAGTACAGCAGTGCTGTATAAAAGGTTGAAGGAAACCTAATACAAGAAATATAAGCATTTATTATATACTTATAAATGAAATATTGAGAAATATTGATGAAATAAAATGCCTATTTTCATTTTCCGTATTTTCACTGTAAAAATTTATTTTTCACTATAGTGAAACATATTTTCCGTATTTTCACTGGTGTCTTGCCAGACTACTTTCTTTTAAATTTTGCCATTACACAAAATTTAAGGGAAAGTCTTTCAAATTTTATAGCAAAAAAGAGAAAAATATATATAATAAACAGAAAATTCAAGTTTTTTCTATAAATACATGATTTATTTTCATCTTGTGGCATGAAAATTACCATATTTCACTTGTGGCTACCGCCACTCATGAAATATTTATTTTCATACCACTCGATGAAAATAAATCATGTTTTTATAGAAAAAACTTGAATATCCTCTATTACCATACTAAAAATGATTACACATCTTATCCTATTTGAATATTTAGTGCTGTCCAAAAAATTTTCATAAAGTATTTTATAAGTTGCATGTTTGTAATAAAAAACCTTCCGTCAAACATACTGTTTCCTATAGCAACTGATAATATCTGGCCTATTTTGATATGTTGACTGGAAACTTCCATTATAGGGTTCTACTCATGGAATAGGTTTGACGTCCTTTGGGTCAAGGTTACACCTATGCTACAATGCCTATATTTCATTCTTTTAATTATGTGTATTTATTTTGGTCAAAGCTTCCTCATGGAGCATACATTAAGCCTGAATATGCTGAATATTTTAAATGGACTTGTCCCACTTCCATTTTTGGGACTGTCCATTATCAATTTTAGGGATATCAATTTGAATATTTAAAATTAGTTAGCCAACAGTATAGAGCCTGGTCAGACTGCACGGATGTGCAGGCTGGCCTGGCTCTATACTGGTGGCAAAGACTTAATGCTTTTGGGTCCAGCATTTAAAGGGTTAAGCAGTTATTCTTGTTTTCAATGTTATTTTGATGATTTTTCCCTTGTAAGTAAATCAATATGACATCCTACGTGATTTTGTCTGGCAAAAATTTATGTTGCATTAATAATTTTAGAGACTATAATTCGTATTTTTTTCTTATTTAGAGGCAAATTTAGAGCCTTCAAATATAATCCTCGACTGTTTGGACACGTGTCCATCGAGGTCTAAGTGCAGGCATTCGCCTGCTGTAGCAGCAGAAGAAAAGGGGCTTACAAATCGGCAGGAAGGGGGTGAAATTAAAGGTGGGGAGGTGGTTGTTAGGAAGAGATTGATAAGTAAAGGTCACACAGTTGCCTGCGAGGCTTATCAGGTCTGCCAGATAGCAAGTGAATATCTACAGGCATTAAGGATGAACAGCGACGGTATGGGGGAGCATTTAGTTTTCATTGTTTTGTATTCATATCTTTTTTTTATTATTATATTTTTTTTTGTTTAAATTTATTGTTTGTTTCACTTTGAGTTCACATCGTTGACATTATGATTTATGAGTTTGAAATGATGGTAAATATTGTAGGCTGATTTGTATTGAAGTTAATAATTAAGATATAAAATGTATTTAATGACACATAATTAATGTGATATGACACACTGAGTAAAATGTCACATAATTCTTGCATGAATACATTACATGTATACAAGCTGATACAAGCTGAATTTTCATTTAATTTATGTAACCATGGTATAAATTTTTATTTCAGCAATCAGTAAAATATCAACATTAGAATTGATCATGGAATTATATAAAAATTCTTTTTTTTTCAGCATAAAAAATTGAACATTGTATAAATTGATAAAGAGTCAAATCTACAAATTTGTCACCTAATTGCAAGGCTGTTTATAAAAATTTATTCATTGTAACTCCTCATCCACTTAACATTTTATGATGTCTGCTAAATTTTATGATATCCACTAAAAAGATTTTTATTATCTTAATTTTGTTATTTACCTTAATGCAGTAAGAGGTAAACCGCTTATATAATTTTATAGGAGTTGACCCATTACTGCACTAAGGTGACAATATAAGGTATTCTTTGGATTTGTTCAGTTACTCATTAGTCTTGCACTTTTGTGACAAAATATTTATCAACATTTCAGTATTGTTTTTTTTTCCTCAATTTTTTAAATATTTTTTTTTTTATATTCAGATGTGTTTAAAATTGAAGTTTGCTGATTTGATGCAACTGTTTCATTTACTGGACATTTTAATATACCTGCATTTATATATACATATATAAATTACTGATCAAAAGTCAATATTATTACAGGCAATAAACCCTTTTTTGAATGACATGTCCATTAATCAATTTTATGATTTCAAGATGACTTAGCCAATATTACTGGTCCTTAAGAGAGAGTCTGAAAATTACAAAAGTTTAGACTAGCCTAGATCAATACTTAAATGGCTATTAAGCCTTAATAATGTCTATACTATTGGCCAGGCTAGCCTAGGTCTATTATATTGGCCAGGCTTAGCCTATGTCTATACTATTGGCCAGGCCGAGTTCAAGCTCCAGCCGGCTAAGGGTTAATGTTTAGAACATGTATGTTATAAGTGTAAGTCATTAATATAGCCAACTTTGCTTCAATAATACAGCTAACATATAGATGAGATTATAATTATGAATTGAGCTTATTATATATTTTATTCTAATAATTTTTTCCCACATCATACAATATATTGCATGTATTTAATTATATTTTTTAATTTTTTATTCAAGCAATATTGTTTTCATAAAATCTAAAGAACAAATTCATTTAAAATGGAAGAAATAAAAAGAGATTTAAATGTTTAGATATGTATATTAAAACCAATTTTTATGTGTGATTAAAACCTGCTATAAACATGTTATTAATAAGTTCTTTTACAGACCAACAAGATGTTTCATCAATACTTATGATACTTAGTTGTCATACTATTGCCCACATATTATTGTTAAATTCTGATGTTAAACATTTAAATTATCATCATGTTGAATTATCACAATATCAAATTATCATCATATGGAATCATCTTCATATTGAATTATCTTCATATTTTGCATGACTTGGTGCTTTTTTAACCACAGGAACTAAAATGATACAATTACTTTTTAAATAATTACTTAAAATGTATGATTTTGTAATAAATAGCACATTCCTATTCTTTATAAAGGGGCATTTGGTAAAAAGTCAGACAGATTATTATCAAATAAGATTTCACGTTGTTGTTGTTTAAACTATGACGTTTGAATGATTTACAGTTGCCCGTCAGATGAAGACTATAAACTACCAGCTGTCGTCACAGAAATGTCTCGAGGAAGGTTGGACGTTGCGGGCCCCGTCACCTCTCATGGAGGATGCAGGAGACGACGTGTTTACACCTGAACCACTACATCCGGAAATGTTAGCAGACGGCAAGGTATGGCGTATTGTTAATAATGTTATATATTATGGTTTTTATTACGTTTCTGTTTCGACACTGCCATTGAGTAATGACAATTTAGTGTTAAACCTACAAAAAGGAAAAAAATATGTTTTTGTCACAATACATTAGAGTCAGCCATTGAGCAAAAACAACTTAGCGTTAAAACCTTAAAAATGGGAAAATATTGATTATTAACCAGGTTTTCCGAAGGAAAAAACTGGTTATTAGATTGAGGTATGTCGGCGGGCGGGCGGGCGGGCGGGCGGATGGGCGGGCGTAAACAATTTCTTCTGTGCTCAACTCCTCCTACATTTCTCAACGGATTTTGACCAAACTTTCACAGAAGCTTTGTCATCAAGTGCCCTGGCGCATATTGTCGGGGTTTTGCGATTAGATAATATTTGACCTAATTATGGCCCTTTGTTTTTTTTCCTTATATAAAATATATAGTGAACAATTTCTTCTTTGTGCGCAACTCCTCCTACATTTCTCAACGGATTTTGACCAAACTTTCTTAGAAGCTTTGTCATCAAGTGCCCTGTCACATATTGCCAGGGTTTTGCAATTGGTATATATTTGACCTAATTATGGCCCTTTGTTTTTTTTCCTTATATAGAATATATAGTGAACAATTTCTTCTGTGCGCAACTCCTCCTACATTTCTCAACGGATTTTGACCAAACTTTCTTAGAAGCTTTGTTATCAAGTGCCTGGCACATATTGTCGGGGTTTTGTGATTGGATAATATTTGACCGAATTATGGCCCTTTGTATATTTTTTCCTTATACAGAATATATAGAGAACAATTTCTTCTGTGCTCAACTCCTCCTACATTTCTCAACGGATTTTGACCAAACTTTCACAGAAGCTTTGTCATCAAGTGCCCTGGCGCATATTGTCGGGGTTTTGCGATTAGATAATATTTGACCTAATTATGGCCCTTTGTTTTTTTTCCTTATATAGAATATATAGTGAACAATTTCTTCTGTGCGCAACTCCTCCTACATTTCTCAACGGATTTTGACCAAACTTTCTTAGAAGCTTTGTCATCAAGTGCCCTGTCACATATTGCCAGGGTTTTGCAATTGGTATATATTTGACCTAATTATGGCCCTTTGTTTTTTTTCCTTATATAGAATATATAGTGAACAATTTCTTCTGTGCGCAACTCCTCCTACATTTCTCAACGGATTTTGACCAAACTTTCGTAGAAGCTTTGTTATCAAGTGCCTGGCACATATTGTCGGGGTTTTGTGATTGGATAATATTTGACCGAATTATGGCCCTTTGTATATTTTTTCCTTATACAGAATATATAGAGAACAATTTCTTCTGTGCTCAACTCCTCCTACATTTCTCAACGGATTTTGACCAAACTTTCTTAGAAGCTTTGTTATCAAGTGCCTGGCACATATTGTCGGGGTTTTGTGATTGGATAATATTTGACCGAATTATGGCCCTTTGTATATTTTTTCCTTATACAGAATATATAGTGAACAATTTCTACAGTGCGCAACTTCTCCTACATTTCTCAATGGATTTTGACCAAACTTTCACAGAAGCTTTGTCATCAAGTGCCCTGGCGCTCACTAAATTCCCATGTTTCTTCCAAGACATCATTCAAGTATTTTTTTTAAATTGTGAACATACTTTTCTTGATATCGCACAAAACACCACACGCCAATATTGTTGACAAAAGAAAATGACAAGAGACGCAAAAATGCAAAAATTAAGCAAAAATAAAGTACTGTTTACCTTTCTAAAATATTTGGGAAAAAAAGGCGAATAGACAACATAAAATTTCTCAATCATTTTTGTTTGAGGAATATTAAAAAAGCCATAATTCCTCCTAAAAGTTCAATTAAAAACAAATGCCCCTTCATGACAAAGCTTCTGTGAAATATTTTGCTGAAAACCTGGTTGCATCGCATTGCGATGTTCCTTGTTGGTTTTATTTTGTTTCTGTAAACTTTATTTTAAGGACGTTTTCGAGTTTTCATATAGACATGTAGCTGAATTAAAACTGTCCGATAGAATGTTTTTAAACTTGGCATGCTGTTAGAATATGCTTACAGAAGATTTGAATGATGTTTTATAAAGTATAGTATAGGCATAATGTTGTACCAATGATTTCATTTGAAAACCTGCATTCTTTTTCTATGCCTTTATCAACTTCTATTCCATTATTAACATTTTACTTATTATTTGCTAATTAGTGACCTTATGCTCATATTTTCATTGTCAAGTTGAGATGAATTAACTATATATTTCAAAAGATTAATTGTAATAATGGTGATTGACCAACAGACTGTCACTTCAAACAATTTTATGGCCATTTAAAACGATGTATTTTACATGTCCAGGAGCATTGTAAAATTTTCCTTACTGTTCGAATTTTCTTGATAAATGTGTCACTAGATATACATGTATGTTGTCAAAATATTGTGACTGTGAATTTTTCTTATTATTTCTTCTTAAGACGGAGTCAAGTCTTTCAAGAAGTTCAGAGATCATTTCTGACAGTATATATGTAAGGACTGTACATGTTATGTATAGATATACTGTAATATATAGATAATGTGTGGATATAACACGTTTAAAAAAATCTATTTTTAGAATATTGTAACATTTTCATAGCATGCTGAAATTTGTTTTCCATCATAATTTTCTGACAGTATAGTAATTGCATGTGTTTGTTGTTAACAGAGATTTATATTTATACAGAGGAATAAGATGCTCTAAAAATAGAACATTTTCCCATCTAGACACATAATCCTTTCTGTGAGATTCATTTGCCCTTGACCTTGGTAATTTTTGCCATCTTGTATTATGTAATCCAATTCCAATATGTTTACTTTTTCATCTATTATTACATCTTCCTATCTTTATGCTTTTTAGCAATATTGCAACTACTTTTTCTTTACATTTTTGATCCTTTAACACTTGTCAAACAGGTCAGAAAAATTACAAAAGATACAGTGGGACATGGTCTCAGAAAATCTCATGAAAAATGTGAACTTGCGAGATATTAAATCACAGATGCAGATTATAAGTACATGTATATGATGTAATAGGTACCTCTCCGTTTAAATATATATCCCTGTAATATTAATAAGGCTAGTGATAACAGTATATTTTATATGGAATATGTTTGTATGAAACTGATGTAAACACGATTGTGATCTTTTTTGAGTGATAATATACCAGACAATGATGGGATTTATTTGACTATCTGGCTGCTAAATTAATGATTCAACACAGTTATAACTTGCTCTTGTTCTGTGTTTTACTCACCAGTGGTTCTTTCACAGCATTGTTCATAAAAATTAAAATTTTCATCACCTTCAATTGGCTTTGATGGAACAAGCTGGTACAAATATATCAGTGTCTACTTATAGACTAAGTTGTGGTTTTTCAGCAAGATAAGGGTGTTGCAGTATTAGATTGGTATATTTGGCATTTGGTCATGTTTTTAGTATCATCTTGTTCATGATAAACGGTACAAGGACACTTATAAACTGTAAAAATACCACTTCCATGATACTGTACAAGAACTCTCAAGTGAAAAAGTTGTTTTAGAATAGAAAGACATAACATTTGCTGATTTGCTGTCATAAACCAATAAATGTTTATTTACCATGCTCAAACTTACAGCATAAAAATCAACAGCTATCTAAAGTAACTTAATTTTCAGGAAGGGCCTCTGCTGCTGTCATTGAGATTATTATTAGTGACTTAAAAAAACTGGTTTCTCAACTATTTTTGTTTGAATCCTGCCAGAGATTTATCCATGTGAAGAAGATAACCAGCAAGCTTATGGAAAGTTGGTGGTTCTTTTAAAGTTTATTTTTAGTCCCTGAAATAATGCAAAAAGGGATACTTCAGGTATTCCTCAATAGTAAAGCTAGAAAATTGCCATATGACTTTTACGGCATTGTCATGACTTAAATCTCAACACCACCACCAACAACACCAACAACAACAACAATAACACTGCCAGTGACTACCAACACCACCACCACCAACAACAACACCACCACCCAAAACAACCACAAAAACAACACTACTACCAACAACAACACCAACAACATAAACATACCACCACCACCACCAACAACACTACCACCACCAACATAAACACCACCAACAACACCAACAACAAAAAAATAACACTGCCAGTGACTACCAACACCACCAACAACAACACCACTACCACCAACAACCACAAAAAGAATACTACCACCAACAAAAATGCCAACAACATAAACATACCACCACCACCAACAACACTACCACCACCAACAAAAACAACAACAACACTACCACCACCACCAACAACAACAAAAACAACACTACCACAACCACCACCAACAAAAACAACACTACCACCACCACCAACAGCAACAACAACAACAACAGTTGTTTTTTTCAGGATTTTGTGGTTAGATAGGATTTTATGGTTAGATATACATTTAAGTGTTGATATTTTTCTATGTAAGATAACAGATATTAATGTTGTTTAATTATTTTGAGTTATGTTTGGTAGCCAAATAAACCAGTGAGATCTCACCTATGGCAGTCACCTCATATTGATGTAAGATATCTTATATTCACTACTACCTGTAAACTTGTTTAGAAACCTCATAATGATATAAGGTATTTTATATATTCACTACTACCTTTAAACTTATTTTAAAAATTATCACTAAAAAAATCAGAATTATCATTAAAAAACATATTTTTTATTAAAAAAAAATACATTCAGTATTATCATTGGATTATGATAATCAAAAGCTTAAATTTCAAGTAATGTCCTTTTCGATACAAAAACTTTCAATCAATAATTGATTTACTGATTCAGAGAATTTTTTCTTCTGCAGCTATTTAATGGTTTAAACATTGTTTTATAGCAGGCAGATCATCACTTCACATTTAGACCAGTCACAAGTGAAAGAAGTGTAAGGGTCCCATAAATGTTTGTCCTTTATTGTTACATGTCTGTCTGTCTGTCTGTCTGTCTGTCTGTCTGTCTGTCTGTGAGTGAGTGAGGGGAAGTGGAATTTGAGAAACATTTCTTTTGATTGACTTACTTTTGTTTTCTTGTTGGTTTATTTGTCAAGGGCAAGGAATAATCGAAACTTTTATTGTTATTTGATTGTGAAAATTGATATTAGAGACTGTTGATTATACATGTAATTTGTATGTGTGTGATCAGAGGGGAATTGATATTGTGATATGTCATTGTTTACAGAGTGATGCGAATTTCATTGATTTACATGTACATGTGATTGTGAATTGGACAATGATGTTTAAACCTTAACTGTGATTTTATTTAGGGTGATTAGAATCTAATGATAGAAATTGTTTTTGTGAATAACCAAAGTGATTGCCGTTTAAATCTGTGCAGTCTCTCATAGGACTTGACTCTTGTTAACCAAATGGCCTAAGGAATATTTTACTATGAGATAAAATTACCTGATTATGGAAATTGGCAGCCACATTAATTTAACAAGTGGTGTGTATTGTGGGTTTATGCCTAAAATAATATATCATATGACATTAGGACCTGGTAGTGTCTAAAGAGTAGCTAGTTTGAAAAAAAACTTGTTTCCAGATCAATCCGTATGTTTAGAGTTAGGACAAAAAGTGTTTACTTTCACTATTATAGATACATTTATAGATATATATATATATGTTTTATTATATAATTACACAGTATGATTTAGCCCAGGCCTACAGACCTGACTCTGAGGGGTACCGGCGTCATGTAAGATTACTGTAGTAAACGGAATCCAAGTGTTTTTTTTTTTATATATTTTACACAAAGATGCTTCATTACACATATATACACAATATGAATTTTTTTTTCATGTTTTTAGCTTGGAAGTACAGAGTAGAAAGCTTTTAAATGCATGTATTTTTGCCTTTGTGTATTATCTGGATAAAGATTAGGAACCAATGTATAACATCCCATTTTGCCAATTGCAAAGTTCCATAAAATAAACAAAATTATATATTTCCCTGGCTTTTAATGTTATTACATGTATAATTGTATAAATCAAAAGCATGTTTAAACCCAGATGTTAACCCTAGATTTACCTTGCAAAGAAACCCAGATTGAGAAAAGTTGTCTGCAGAAAGTGTCTGCATTGTTCAAGGAAAATTAGAAGACTAAGTCTTATCGTCTTCTTTGTGAAGACAATGTATTGTTTTTTAAATGGATATTTCTTTAATACATGTTTTAAAATGCTTATATTAACACTGAAAAAAAACAACACTTCTTTAACAAAATACAAGTAGACTGTAGTTTAGCTTTATTAATTGATAAATATTTTGGCTTTCCTTCATGACTAGGGCATTGGCACATGCATAATGCACTTGGTTCAGCTTTTCAGCCTTGTAGCTTAATGACACTTATCAAGGAATGAAATGGAACTTTACACAGGTCTAAATAATTATAATAAATGGTCTTGACCAAGACAGGCCATAACTCTTGCATGGATTTTAACTATTGATTATTCCCCTTGGTAATTGACAGAGAAATTCCTGTTATAAGCTTCAGGTGAATTCTCTCTCTACAAGCACTATAAGTATTCATTGAAATGTTGACATATGCCTTCATTGGTTAAAGACTATGCCCCAAAACTCAGGCATGGATTTTGACTGAAATATTGCCCTTTGTGACCTAAAAATGTTCTTGTGTTTTCAAAGTTTTATGTTGCTGTTGAGAGCATAGATTTGTCAAAAGCCACTGTCACTGTCCTACCGATACAAAAACAGAATTAACAAAAACATAATTAACTTCACTATAAATGATGACAAAAATATACAGCAGTGCATCTTATATATTCTTATTTTAGGTGACTTTATTTGACAATGTCAAAAATATACAATTGTACATCTTTTACATTCTTATCCAAAATGCCTTTTTTACATCAATACTGTGAAATCAAGATTGTTCATCATAGATGTATAACATACAGCATTATCAGAGATTTATGTTGTATTGAATGATTCAGATGTTGTTAATAGTGATTATAATACAAACATATGTTTTTCATGCAGATATCCTACCCCCTTATTCTTGCAAGCCTGGAGGTAAAATATCATAAATGAAAATGTTACTTTTGTTTCCAGTTTTTAATACAGTTTTGTTAGTATTTGTTCTTGTTCCATAGAATATTACCTCAGTACAGAAAACCAGTATAATATTGTAGCGCCCCTGTCTATCTATCGTGTGTATGACTTTTCTCTCGACTATCAGTGTTTTACTCTCTTAACCAAGTTTTCTCTGATTTTATAGTCAGGTGGTTTTAATGGGTACTTTTTACTTCAATGTGCAAGGGTACTACATCAGCAATTATTCTAATAAATTGCTAAAGTTAATCGGTATCAACGTAAATAAATAATTAAACAGTTTACTACTGGTAGCGTAAACAACAAGCCTGGTAGCGGCCAATTAAAAATAACACATGGAAAACTAACTAAAATTCAGGACAAAGCCATTCCTTTCGGTTTAAATTATGATTTATTTTTGTAAACGGCCTTAACAAATAACTATGGCTGGGATTCAGACCAAATGCATGAATCAATAAATACTGTAACGATTTCAGCATAAATAAATGGCATAAATGTGAAAAACTATAATAGCTCGAGGTCAGATCGGTTATCTGTTACTAAAAGTGCCGTCAAATATACGAAATACCGAAATATGTGCCCAAAAAGACTAAGTCAGAATTTTGACAGTTTGTAAACAAAATCGTTACCGATACTGAACTTCCGGCAACAAGTTTAAAATAATCTATTACAAGATACCTTTTCAAGATAAAATTTAGTAATGAATGAAACTTTTATCAGAATTTACGAAAGATTTGGATGAGACAAAATTTGTACGTCTACTCTACTGTAAGGACAGAGGCAAAGTGATTTTTTGGTATTCGAACGCTGGTATCAGCTTTGGGTATGCAAATGAGTACCAACATATTTTGGTATGCAAATTAGGTGGTTCGAGGTTACAAAAGAAAATAAATATGTCATAATATTTCATTATAAGAACAAATATACAATTTAAATCAATAAATAATACATAACATTTAATCTATTAATCAACTTTGCCTCCGAAATTATTTACATGAATCTGACCTCGAATTGAGATTATAAATAGAACTAAACCGGAAACCGGAAGTATGACAAAATGGCGGACATGGACTAGGAAATTGAGAAATTTTATAACATAAACTCGTATTTCATAACAAAGAAGTGAATATGAATAAAATTAACGATGAGCTTAGTAGAAACAGGTATTTTTCTAACAATTTGTGAAGTATTAAGGCATGACAATAAGTATTTATGTAAATATCATCTCTCGTGTTATGATTTCTTAAATTATACATGTACACATGTGATATTGACCTCAATAAATGTAAGTAAAAATGAAACAATAATTATTGCAATTATCCATGGTGCTAGTAATACTTAATTACCGTTATCATTATGTGTAATTGAAATACCTAACCTCACATTACCCTCTCTCCTGAACAAATTTCGTCCTCGAAATTGAAAGCACCATGTTAATTAAACTTTAACAACAATTAAAATTTTATACTTAGAAATTATTAACAATAAATTTAACAATAATAACAGGTATCGGATATAACAGTTATATGAAAACATTTCTGCTATTCCATGCAACTTGGAATAGTTTACTTGTACATTCATACTCTACTCATACATCATGTCAATTAAGTTACATACAATTACATGTAGGCTGAACAGTCATACATAATACTATTATGCAATAACAATGTTTAAACACATTTGTTTAAAAACAATTTTTGTTAACGATACATTAGTAATGTGCTATCACATTACAGAGACATTGTGGTAATTGAAATTTGAACATTTTAAGTTTAATGCACTTAATTTTAGGGCATTATACATATAGCATAATATAGCATTTATGCAACAACAATTTAATATATATAAAAGTTATTGTTTAATTGAATTGTTTGTTAACAATACTTCTATTATGGATATCATACCATAAACAAACAACATTTTGAAGATTACATGTACATTTAAAACAAATAGTTCATGAAGACTGAAAATTTAATAGTGATTCATTTTACTAGTAATGCATTACTTATGTAATTGAAATGACTTACAACTACTTTAAAGACAAGAAGAATATGGAAGGACATTAGGACTTAAAAGAAAACAACAACTTGAGGAAAAGTTTTAAAAGACATCCAACAATTGACTTATTATTTTTTTTTAATATATTCGCATACAATGGGCAGACAACCAGGTCATTCAATAACTGATAACTACTTTACATGTAAAAAAAATTTAAACAACAAATATTGTGACAAGTTACCATACATGACTAGTGAATTGACTAGAATTATTACTAACATAAAAAAAATTGTTTAATTTACAAACAATTTCAAGTATAATTCAAATAGTATGACAATTAATGATATTGTTTTATATATGTATTTGGACGGAATTAAATTGCATTGAATAACATATTTTACTCGGACGGACACAACCCTGTATATTAATTTAAGACAAATGTAGACATTACTATGACTGACTAGAAGTTTAAAAAAAAATATTTACAAATACTTAATTTATTACTATGATGTTAAATGGTACTTAGACAAAAATTTATAGATGATAATGAAGATGGAGATGGAAGGACACTACCATGAAGACCTAATAATTTACAAAAAACAAATAATACATTAAATACTTAATACCTTAACAATATTTTATTGAGTTTGTTTATCTTGTTTAAAAAAAAATACCAAATTTATTCTGTCTGTGTCTGTGTTCCTCTGCATATTTTGAGGCCGTCATCTAAGGTACAGGTGGTCTTCAACATCAGTGTCCGGCAGTTTTATGGTCATGTACGTATTTAAGTACTGTATTTCTAACAACTTTTGGCACAATAATTTGAAATTGCTCCTCCCCCAATTTATTGGTATGTTTTCTGTACACCACATCATCATGAAGTATTAAACTTGGCCATTGAGACCAATAAGCTTTATATTCCCCTTAAATGTGAAATGTCATTGGCTGTAGGTCTGTTATTTTGTGATAAATTATCTTGAATCTTTCCAATTTCAGGGTCAGCTTGCTGGGTTGCTTTCCAATCAACTTCTAAGAAGTTATCTTGCAGACTAACAGAATTCCTCAGGGGGTCAGAGGTCCTATTGGAATTCTCGCCCTCTCTTTCTATTGCATTTACTAACAGACCACCTTCCAGGGCCCTTGTCAGGAAGTCTGTATCTTCATTGCTATTACTTTTGCTGTTTTCTTCACACTTGGTCATTTCTTTATCATTCAATTTTACTTCTCGAATGGATGTAGTAACAGACCCAACACGTGAACCCAAGACATTGATCTGACTCAGATTCATCTTTGTCATTAGTTTCAAGTTTGTTGCAGTATTTACAATCTCCACAAGGTTTTCTTGATAATGCATCTGCATTTCTATGGCGAACACCACTTCTGTGTTCTACATCAAAATCATATAAACTAAGGGTATTTATCCATCTACTCAATTGTCCCATAGGGGTTTGAAAATTTCAAAGCCCAAGATAATGCTGAATGATCGGTTCTTATTAAAAATTGAACCCATATAAATAATTGTGAAAATGCTTCACTGATTCAACTATTGCTAATAGTTCTTTACGTGTTACACAGTATTGTCTCTCAGGATGGTTTAAGGTACGACTGTAATAGGCTATGGACACGTATAGTGTCCCCTTGTTTTTGTTGTAGCACACTTCCGAGGCAATATGAGCTACAGTCAGTATCTAATATGTATAAGTCATGGAATTAGGATAACCTAATATTTGGTGCTTCTGTCAATTTTTGTTTTAACTTGTTGAAAGCTGTCTGGCATTCTTCAGTCCAAATGAACTTTGTATTTTTATGTGTAAGTTGATGTAAAGGATGAGCTATTTTAGCAAATCCTTCTATTGAACGTCTGTAATAGGAAACAAGACCCAAAAATGAAGATAATTGCTTTGAGTTCTTTGGTATAGGCCAATCTTTTACAACCTTGACCTTTTCATCATTTGGAACAACACCATTTTGGCTGACAATATGGCCTAGAAAATGTAATTGAACTTGAAATAGATGAACTT